ACATTCCCAGTGCATAGCACTGATACGTGCGAGGATTACAGTACACCTCTAGTTAGTTGGGAAACACTGAAAGTGTCTCTGAAAAATCTCAAGGGTCGACCCAGGATCCAACCCGGGACCTCAGGAGTGACAGCCAGTGGTGTAACCAACTCACCTATTAAATACATTAAAAACATGAATCTGGGGATATGCTGCTTTAAACTTCCTACTTATTCTGTACACTGTTTCACCTGTACTTGATCATTAAGAAACGGTTATAAATAAGGTATTTTTAATTAATGAACACGAAAGCGCCTGGCAACGAACGTTGAACGTAAAAAGTCTTTTATATCTTGTCCATGGGTCGGAAGTATATGTATTACCTGTCAAATTAGAAAATTAATAAAAATGATTCATTACTCTTTTGAGGATCAGAATTTGAACGAGCTATGACTTTTAAGATAAACTGGTCACTCATCCGCTGAAATAATTTAATTACTTCATCAATTATTAAGCTGAGTCGTCATCGTGATGAAGAGTTATATTTTTATATTGTTCTCAGGGTCCACTCAATTATTAATAACAAATACCAACGGCTTCTCTGAACTGTTGGACTGTTTTATACATGAGGAATTGTGTTTAATGAAAAAAACTGAAACACCTTGATATTAAAATGCAATCAAATATATAACCTAATTATCTTAAATTTAGGATACACTTGCTTATCTAGTTTAAAAAAAAACAAAACTTGTAAATAACTCATTAATTGAAAATGGGCTATCGAGTCAAGAGTGATATCCTAGTTATGTGCTGTTTGTTACATATATTTTATTTAGAAAAGTGCTTTACTGCAAATTCTAGGTTTTCTAGAAATGCAGCACTGGATGGTTACAGTTGTGAACTTGGTGATGTCGTCTTTAATAAGGACAAGATAATTAACAGGATTTTATGTTCATCACTTTGTAGCCAGCAAGAAGCATGTGTTGGTTTCTTTTACATCCCAGGATCACAGCACTGTATTGGTTGTCGTGCTGACTTTCAAAACAGATCAACAACAATGGCAGATACCATGTTCTACACTCGTGACGGTAGGTTAATTAATCTTAGAAACATTTTATAATGTATTAATAAAAATTTCGAGAGGTGAGAGGTTACTAATTTCCAATATATTTCAGTTAATTCAGTAAATTATTTTTGTACCCTCATTTATTATCTACAAAAAGCAAGGACATGAACACATAATAATTTAAGGAGCTCCGCTGACAGAACATAAATATTTAATTTCTTCTAGCAAATGCAAATAGTGCACTTAAAATGAAACTGAAAATAGATATTTTTGCGATTCTTACCCGATCTGAGAAAAAAAGTATAAAGGCTTTTCATTTTGCGTCGTTTTGCATAATGTGAATCTTTTTAGAAAATTCAGCTTCACTTAAGACAATTCTAACACTATCGGAACTTTTCTATATAAACAAAGAAGGCCCGAAGCGTGCATTATTCTGCAACAATCACTCGCCGTTCTTATTATCTCCCTGTGTATTTTCACATTGATGGCGCCATTTTGTTTGAAAAATCTGATAAATAAAAACATTTTTTGTCGAATTTTGTTGTGAAAACTATCTAGAATGAAAGAAAATAGTCTAACTAAGAAAAATTAATCCGAACACCAATATCTTTAATTCAGTCGTTAACGCTGTATAGACGTTTAAAGTGTTGTTTACATGACGTCACAATGTAGCGCCAAACAGCACTTGCAAAACAATCAAATCAAGTACGCTATTTAATGTCGCAAACGAGTTAAGTTTAACATTTATGTCACTTTTAATAATTGTATTTCGCTTGAAAAATCGTAGAGTGAAATAAAATAAACAAACAAAGTTTTATCAACGTTTTCAGAATTCGTTATTCTCAAAATGTTTCTTCACACGGTAGATTTAACGACAGTTTTTTCCAACCCACTGGAACAGCCTTTAAAGAACGTTTCTGGCGAAAACAAATTTAACCACCAAACATAAAGTCCAACTTTATAATGATAATTATGTTTTTCTTGACGTGTCAGAATGGAAATAGATATAAATTCTTCGTGCATTATTGTATAATAATGCACGTTTTTCGTTCAAATGCTTTGTAATTAATCACTCAGGCCTATCGGGCTTCGTGATTATATTACTACCCATTTGAACTCAAACCGTGCATTATTCTACAACAATGCACTCAGAATTGATATCTATTTCCTTAATGTATGTACAATCTAAACCGACTCATTTTCGAGAAAGTAAGACTTACACATTTAAATAACCTTATTTATGTTATCTTTAAAATATTATTGTAATTACCTTTCACTTCTAAAATACTGTATTGTCTTCTTGTCATTTATAATCAATGCTAGGCGGCGTTTTCGGAAAGACGTTATAGGGTTACGTAACCAATAAGTGACAGGTAGTCAATCCATCTGTATATCTGTTTATTTGATTAAACTGAACGAGTGTTATCAGTGCCAGATTTTATCAGAGTGAAATATGATATTTCGAAAAATTTCATGCCGAGCTCATTAGGACCGCTTTTTTGCAATTCTTATAATGTCTTTAAATTTGTAGTGAATGCCTTTTATCTGAATGTATAGCATGACAGAAAATACTGGATTTATATGAGCGTGGGTACCAACCCTTCCATGGGCAAACATTTTAGTTAATTTTCTTTTATATTTTCATCTTTTCTTTTATCTGGTCAGATTACAGTTTTCTTTTTTATTTTTCGAAAAACAAAATAAACACAAAAAAGGGGAAAAAAACAAAACAAATAAAACAACAGCAAAAACAAGCAAGTTAAATTATAATTTTAGTGTAAAATTCTTCAAAAATAAGGTAGTTTTAAAAACATTAAATGAATACATTTCTGAATCCGAATGGTAAACCACCTTTATTTTTGCACCTGTGTCCAGACTTATTATCTAGATAATTCTAACAAAAATAAGGCAACAACCTTATTGTATGAAAACAAATGCAGATGAATTTCTGAATCAACACAATCTATTTCATCAAAATTGAGACATACCTGTTTATAATTAACAATCTTTTTCAAATATGCTTGTTTTGCTTTTGTTTGTTATTATTTCAAAAATGTCGATCTTTCTTACAATTTCTACAGATAAAGATAAATGAAATAAAACATGTTTGTTGTTGTTGTTCCATATAACTGATACAAAATTTTAATTTTAATCGTGATTTTTCAAAAAATCTGTATTTTTGTCAAGAAAATGATGACGTATAATATTGCTAGGTTTAAGGTAACTTTTGAAAATTTGAAAATTGTCAATTATGCATCTTATACATTAACGTCGGTTCATATATAACAAAGAAAAAATATATGTACAAGATATTTACTGACAAACATATAAAATAAGAAAAAGCAGCTGTTAAACAGTTAACTGAATTTAATATACATAGAGGATATTGAATGAGTGTAGTTTAATACTAAATTTATTGAACGAGTTGAATAAAATCATATTATGCGAGTCTCTGGCGAGCATAATATTGTTTTATTCAACGAGTTCAATAAATTTAGTATTGAATCTACACGAATATAATATTCTATTTATCGCATATATAAAATAAGAACAGTAAACTGTTAAAATGAGTAATTTTTCAATGACGCGTCTATAGTGTAACGCTAACATTAGCGCGCTTTAACGCTATGTTTCTATATAGCGCAAATGACGTCACGTCAAAGTGTTATTACACTAGTGTAATATGGCTTTATTACACTCCTGCGCCGCGGTTTATGTGATAAATGTACATATTCACTTGTTACTAGAAATATCCGTAAAGTTAGAATTGTTTGATTATATGGTTAGCATATTCTCAGTTAGGGTTCTGAAGTATGGGGTTTGCATAATTCACCAGACATAGAACATGTTCATATATAAATATTGAAGCAACTCCTGGGTGTTAGCAAACATTTAATGCTGTTGTATATGGTGAATTTGGAAGGGTACCTTTGTTAATACGTAAAGTCTGATACATGAATGAGATTGAAACAGAATATCATTTTTTACTGGTTTGCCCTTTTATACAGAATTAAGGAAAGAAAATTTACCAAAAATTATTGCTCTTGGTCTACACTAAATAAATATATATTTTTATGAAAAATAAACTAATTGTGCATTGAATTGTTAACAGATTATCAAAGTGTAACTACTTCGCAGATGTATTAAGTGTCTGTAAGGCGCATTTCAGCAAACTGTTCCCTCAAAAACCTCAAACATAAATAAAAGTTTGCTTTTTAAAATGCTTTTAAGTGTTCTCATACCTTAAATAATATTATTTATTGGAGATTTCAAATATATTAGTGATAAGTTATCTACAGTACACATTAAAATGTTCCGGTGGCAATATATCTCATCCTGTTAAAGTGTGGAGTTGTATGCTAAACTTTATTTATTAGAGGATTAAAATATTTGATGACAATTACTAAGGACCTTATTTGATTTTTCCAACTTTTCAGTATTGCTTTTAACTAAAAATTTAAAAATTAGTGGACACTTAAAAACCCATGATGAGATCTGCGGAATGAAAGTTCATAATTCATAATAACATGAACACAAAAAGAAATCTTAAAACGAGCTGAACTTATCAATAAAAAACGGCAATAAAAAGAACCATAGTTTCCGCAGCGTAAGCAGAGATAAATTCAAAATAACCTGCGTGTCCCAGGAGATAATGTTATTGCATGCTTATCGCATTTCAGTGGCCACCACTTTGATTTTTAATTATAAAGTTTATTGTATCATAAAATAGTAATCGAGTGGAACAAACAGTTAACGCAGTATTGACGTTAACCGACGTTTCAAATCCCACACGCTTGTTTAATAATTATATTTTATTTTGAATGTAACGAAAATATTTTGAAAATATTGTACATGTACTACATATCTTTAATTTTTTAAACAGAAGAAATGCATTAAATGGGGTAAACGTGATAAAATGATTTATTATGTTTTCTTTCATTTTACTTTAATTCAGTTCCTAGAAACAGCTCAGATTACGATGGTTATATGTGTGCAACAGATGAAAGAATCTCTGTCAACTCACATATTTCAACTCTTGCACATTGTGCTAGTACTTGTTTTGTGAACGATGATTGTCAAAGTTACTTTCATCAACCAAATACACAGGAATGTTCTCTATGCCGTATAGCTTACGGTATAAATGGAGATGACGCGGGACTGGAAGAATGGATTGGCTCATTGTACGAATCAAGATATCGTAAGTTATTTTCTTTTATTTAAGCTATGATGATTGACATGTACCTAGTTTACACAATCCACAAATAAATAAAATTTCTTTGATACATAGTCTAAAGGATTACAGTGTATTTCGTTTTCTTCTATATTATCAAAATTTTTAGATATTTTATAGCGGCCACAATTATATATGACAAAGTCATGTTAAAGGGGGGCTCCTCCATTTACTGTTTTCACAAACATAGTTGTACAACAATATCATGATTTTATTGATCTTTGCGATTTTATATAAATATAGTGATTCTGTATATATTACCTTCAAATTGGATTTTATTTGACAATCATTTAAGCATTGTGAGGACATGGACAATTGAAACTTCTGATAATGGAGTTCTCATATCTGCAATTTTGCGGTGTTAAGAAAGTGGTAACTGTTGCCTATGACACCTGCGCATATAGCGTATCGTGTAGTCGAGGGTACTCCTGGCTCCCGACCACCAAGTGAGGGCCGAGGTTCAGGAGTGCACCTAGCACGAGCTGGGACACCTGTCGTCACTGGAAGACCTTATTGGAGCTTCTAGGTCCCAGTTCGTGCTCCAGTTAAATTCAGGTCGACGAGAGAGCATTTCTAACTGATCTGAATATTCTAGTTTTGCAAAATAATTTTCCTTCATTACGGCAACAATTCTGTACTAGTTTATGCATGCAGATGTTTTCACAATGCATACATTTGAATTTGAAATGTTAATTGAATAGATCATATTACTCTGGTATTTAGAATATATTGTATATCTTTGTGCTTAAAATAGAAAATCGATGCCACTTTGTCGTACATTTACAAGGTACGGTGCAAGTAAGAGCGCTCTTCATTTCGTTTCACAAGAGTTACACTAGCCTTCTTTTGCTTTATATGCCTTTATTTCATGTATTTCCTTATTATATGTTATAATAACTATAGCATATTGCCACAAGGAAACACATCACTGTATTATTTATAAAGAAATGTTTTTAAATTGGCTAATACTTGGTTAATAAAAGATTATATTCTTGTACGTCTCTTAAACAGGACCTATTATTTCTATTATACTCTCCTGCGCATCGGTCGAATGTTCCACTATCGCTCACTGTCTGAAGTAACGTGAGTGTTTTCAGTGAGATGCGAAGGGAGCGTATTTCTATTATAGCACTGTGATTACAAAAAAACTATATTGTGTTGTTACTTAATTAAATTGTTGAAATGTTGTTACAGGAGAGACTTTCATATAAGCTTTAAGCTTTCTAATCAATCCTGAATGCCATTTATTTGTATTGTAATTTGTCGGTAAATATTCAAGAAGAAATAAATATTGTATAAACCAATATGACGTTGTTTTTCACTACTGACATATACTTACAAGATATTTAAGAACTTTAAAATGAAGCAAGAAGCTCATAAAATGTACTTGTTTTATTTGGCGATATACAACGCGATACAATTAAAGTCACACACGATGTTAATCTTTATGTCTTTTCTGTTGGTATTTAGGATATGTAGGCTGTTATGACGACTACCCTCCAAGAATTTTAGAAGGTTTATTTATATCTGACATTATTATGACAACAGAGATGTGCATAAAGAGATGCATAACTGAAGATCGTATCTACGCTTTAACTGAGGTAAAAACTTTTTACTTCTATTATTTCACTTGCAATTTTATTCATATTAATTTTATTTGTTGTAGATTTTGGGGGAGGGCGTGGGTAGGTTGGGGCCTGAAAGTGTACTTGTTACCTATCTAGGTATGCGCCGTGGACCAGTGAAACAGATCACAGTAAAGTATATTTTACATGTTCTCACACAATGCAAATGCTCTGACCAAATGAAAAATTGTATAACACATAGTTGTAATGTAGTCGAGTTAACCTCGTACAACGTTAATGTTACAGGCTGGGTATTATTGTGACTGTGGCCATCAGTTGAACCCGCACGGAAAGTATGCAGATACATCGTGTTTTCAGGCATGCGCAGGAGATAACAGTCAGACTTGTGGCGCTGGTTGGACAGGTACAGTCTACGCAATAAGACACTGGTAGACGCCCAATATGTCCACATGGAAAATAGATAGGATTTTGGCCATTCGAATTGGAAATCATTGTTATACAGTAGCACAAATATTGTTACTATCACAACACCCAACATTTTTGTCTTTGAAAAATGATATTGATATTTGAATTTTTTTTATATCTTAAATGTTTACAGTCCAAGACATTTAGACGTTTTTATATGTAAATGTTTCCAAGATATTCAGACTTGTTTATATTTAAATGTTTACATCAATGATAATGTGATACTGCATTTTTTTCTTCATTTTTTCTGTTTTATATATATGTTTGTTTATTTATAAAGTTTTTTTTCTATTTATTTATTAATACCATTTTATATTTATTTTCCCATATATTTATTTATTTCATAAACATTTATTAAACAAACATATCAAGCATAACGTTTCTTCATTGTACTTGTCATTTTCTTATTGTCTTAATTTGTATCAATTAATTTGTAGTAATTCCATGTAAACTGTTATAGCATGATTCCTATAAGTATAAAATCTAAAGGCAATGGAGAAATGTCTCCCAAAACAAGTGCATTGGACTATAACACGGAACAAACTGCTTCTTCTTTGTTACTCAAAAACGAGAAACACGCATAAGACGAGAACAAACAAGTCAGAAGCGTAAATATTAATCGTGTAACAGAGCAAAACACAATGAACACAGATACAAAAGTCATGCAGTCGTTAAATAAACTAGCATGCTCAAAATAATACTTTCTTTGGAAGTGTAAAATCTCGTCACACTCACCGAGTTTCATTGGCGGTCTTGACAGGCATTCCAATAGCTTTTATGACCATATTGTAACCTCAATAAAAATGCTGCCATCCTCAAAACTTTATACTTATTGGACAAAAGAGGTAAAAATGCCCCTTTCTTTGCAAAGAGAAAAACGCAAATAATGGATGGCCGCCAGAAGGTGCTAGAAATGCCCCTCCCCCCTCCCACAAGAAAGCTATTCTAGTTTGTGAGATGAATTGAATAATGCAGCAGAATGTGATATGCGATTATTCTGGCAACATATAAACAGAAAGTAAATGGGCGGACAGGCTTGATAACTGAAATTTCCTTAGGCGGAAATTCTTTCAGAGACCCATTTGAGATTTCAGTCATTATGCCAGGGTATTAAACCCGCAAAACAATGTGGATTTTGATCATTCCCAATATGAAACTTTAAATTACTACGGTGACGTCATTCCTTCGTTCCGACCGTAAAGTATTTTTAATGGTGTCCAATGTTAATGCGTAAGTCTTATATTAATCGTGTATCACATTAATATTGTACAGCGTGCTGTGTAGTGAAAGAGGCTTGTATCACCACTGGACTTTGTGAAAAATTATCCAAATATAACATACGACAATAGTAAAATACAATCTTTTATATATCAGAAGTTAACACAAGGAATGTAACGTTTTTTTCTCGCCCATTACGCATTTTACAGAATTTTATATAAAGAACAATCATTGTTATCTGCCGATGATTTCTTTGCTCATTTAATGAATTCTATCTTCAAACGTACTGGGTTTGAATTTCCAAACTTATTAATCATACCACTGCTTCAGCTTACCTAGTGAAACGTAGCGGAGCGTCAGTTAGGATATGATTTAAATGTTTAATTGTTTAATTTCATGCCTATTTTCTTTTTTAACCCATTACTTCATGAGCATTTTGTGAAAAATAGCTGTTTTCATTGAAAAGTCTCCCGTTACAAGTTCAAATTGCTATAATACTATAAAAACTGCTTCAACACTAATCAAACTTGGCACAAATGTTGACTGGACCATTGCCCTTGCAACAACATGCTCAGGTTTAATATAAAGAATTTTAATATAAAATTTTATACTTCACAGCAGGTGTTAAGTGCCGTGTGGCAGCCGTAAAAAGTTGCCCCGTACTTCACTTCAGTGTTGTTATATTTTCTGGTCCTTCGGGATCATTGATGCCAGCACTATTAAGTGTTGAGAATTGAGTACCGCTCAAGCCGGTGCTAGGGGGCGTGAGGGATGTTGCACTTATTCATTATCCCTCATGTACAGACTCAATCAAACCGAGTCTGCAATTCTCTTATAATTTTGTTGTAATTAATGCTTCCGAGGGATCACTTTGTTTCCGGAATTTTAAATTTTCTTTTACCATGGCAACGAGGGGACATCTCATAATTGCCAAAAATCACTATTTTGCGTTAATTTTTGCCATCAAAATTGATTTCAAAGTGTTGTAACTTCTCAATGGATTGAGATAGAGTGAAATGCTTTTCAGCGTTGGTTACACGTTACCTTATGATCAATCTGGGGTCATTTATAGCCTCTCACAAGTCCAAAAATTTTCTTGGCGATGAGGGGGACTCCGCCCCCTTCAACCCCCCCCCCAAACAGAAGGGGGCACATCCCTCTTCTGGCAACCCCCTGATGTATCTTTTGTTTGGGGGGCCGCGCCGAAAAAGTGGTCACTTTTTTAACAACATTTCTCAAACAAAAACAAGTGTTGGGGGCCTAAATAAGGCATTTTTCCCCATTTGGGACAACAAAAAAGAGGGGGTGAAAAAGGCGTTAAAAGGCGTGTTTATCGCGTAATGGGTTAAATACATTTAGTTGACACTTATACTTGATTTGTTTCATTGTATTTATATAAAGTTTCAGTTAGGTCAAGTTTTCGATCAGTTTTTCAAATAAATGTGAGAGAAAATAAATTCACCTATTCAAAACAAAAACAATTATATTTGACTACATACATGTATATGTTTGGGTTATATGTATATAGAAACGATTCAATACTCCTGAAGTATGACAAATATCAATTCAAAAATAAGAAAATATCATTTTGTTGCGCAAATGTCCAAAATTCACACTAAAAGTCATTTTTTACACAACATTTTACATCCGTGATAGTTGTTGTAGCAAAGTGAAAGAAAATATTATTTTAACACAAAATGGTCAGTATAAATCATTCTTATAAGTCATAAATCGTCTCAGGCAATCGTTCAAAATATCCGAGATTAAACACAAATTTAATTTTTTTTTCACTATTTCTTGTATAAATCCCCAATGTACATGTATTCTGTATGCGTGTACGTAAATCCAACATTTTGTGTAACGGGTATATTTTTGTTTATTATTGTGTTCATGTATATAATTGGTCATATTTCTAAACACGTAAATTACATGCTATTGACATTTTGTTATATAGGGCTTTGCAAGTATGAAAAAAATAATTGCTTAAACATTAAAAGTGTACATTATTGCACAAAAATACATTATTTCCAATTTTTCGATTGATAACATGATATTTGTTAGTAAAGTAAGATATAAGCCTCAAACTGACCAATAAGTAAAATATTTAATTCCCTTCGGCGCTACGCGCCTCATGAAATTCAGTATTTTACATATTGAACAGTTTTCGGCTTATATCTACAGAAATGTTGACTAAAGAGATAGATATGCCTGAGCTATTATAACTTGTTAAGTGTCTAAAGCAGCGAAAAGCACTGAAATTTGAAGGCATTGCACACAAAAATTTGATAAATGGTGGTCACAAACTTCTTGAATACCTTAAATATTTTTTACCCTACACTTGAACATGTTCCTGTCAATGTAAACTAGGAGTCATTATGCATGTGCTTACAGACGGAAAACCAAATCACATTATAAGCAGTTATCGCCCAATTACCCTGTTACAGGTAATTTACAATTATTTTGAAAGCACACAGTTTTATCAATCACTTTCTCTTTCAATTTCTACGAAACATTTACTCATAACATACATGTAGAACATTCCATCAAAGTATTTTGCATTATCGCCACTATTAGTCCTTTTAGTAGTCTTTTCAAGCCTAGTCGAAAAGATCACAACTAATGATATCAATAGAGGAAAAAGCAGGGGATAGTGAACAGTCAATGTATCTTTTTTTACCTAGCAAGGAGCTAGCATGTTTAAATTCAAAGGTATTAAGAAAACCATTTAAACTTGAAAGATATTTTAAAGAAAAACACCTGTTTAAAAATATTTCAGTGTATATTTATATTTAACGATAATTTTACATTAAACATGCTCTCTTTTGTTAAGATGGCCAAACAACTTTTTGACATAAACACTAAAATTAAATATTTAACAGATCACAAAGAAAGTCAGTTCTCAAAGATGTTCACATTGATTTAATGATTGAAATATTATATCTGCAACTTTATTCATGTGGTGCCTTTAAAAATCTTAACAAATTAAGATCCCTCGGATGCATTAATCACAACAGAATTACATGAAAATTGCAGACTCGTTTGATTGTGTCTGTACATGAGGGATAATGAAAAACTGCAACATTCTTCACGCAATTTCCAACACTTAAAAGTGTTGGATTCAATGATCCCGAAGGACCAGAAAAATATAACAACAATGACGTGAAGTACGAGGCAATATTTTACACCTGCCAGACAGCAATGGCCACTTTCTGTTGTGAATATAAAGATCTGGACAAATTGTGATCCCTCGGAAGCATAAATCACAACAAAATTACATGAAAATTTCAGACTCGGGTTAATTGAGTCCGTACATGAGGGATAATGAAAAGTGCAATATAATGAAAAAGTGCAGCATCCCTAACGACCCCCAGCACCGACTTGAGGAGTACTCAATTTTCAACACTGTTGTTGCATTCAATGGTCCCGAAGGACCAGAAAAAATTTACAACACTGAAGTGAAGTACGGGACACCTATTTACAGCTGCCACGCAGCACTTGAAACCTGCTGTTGTGAAGTATTAAAATCTGGACAAAAGCCTCAATGCGTTTTTCTATTTTACCTTTAGCTTATATAAAATATGTTTCTTTTGAGTTTGACGGTTCAAAAAGGAACACATGAAAAAGGAACACATGACATTGCAACTACATGATAATGCATTCAGTCATCATAATACATGATAGCAAACGTAGGTTTCCATTGTTATAAAGAAGTATGGAAGCAAGCATAATGAAAGGCCCAATATCATCAAGCAAGAATATACTAATTCTGTTCCATACGACCCAATACAGCTCGTAAATTTACCTTTAAAATAAACAATGACGCCACCGCTGTATCTTTTTGCTTTCTTATTGTATTTAGGTCGAGGACATGAAAAGCATTCAAAATTCTTTAAATTGTTTAAATAAACATTTGAATCCCATGTTTCTGTCAAAATCAAAATATAAAAGCCGTTAAGAAAATCTTAAATGTCATTATCATTTAGTTTATTTTTTATTCAT